TGATACGCAGGTTTAATTTCTTTTCAAATCAATTGTCTTTGCAGTCTGTTAACATGAATATATGGATATGCCCCCCCCCCCAATTATCGATGCTGGCTACGCCACTGCACAAACGCGTAACAAGTTGTCGACCACAAACCACGATAGCATGCACGTGCTACAACGCACATGCACTGTATTACGTAGTGGAAATGACTTGTAGTTTTAGTTTAACCAAGCGTATAAAACCAGAGCACAAATCTTGCATGCATGATTCACACGGCAATAGCCTGAATGACATGACAAGGAGAAGAAATACCGAGGGACACACAAATGCTGAACAGACACGAAAAGGCTAGATCTAAATAGAGCCATACACCTGAAGATGCTAATTTAAGCTGATAATTGGCAACAGTAGTGTCAACACACCTCTACATGGATGGATTTCCAACTAGAACGTTAGGTCCGCTGTTCAAGTTACCAGTCAGAATAACGAACTATGTTACTCAGACCAGATAAGTTAATATTAAGAAATAGCCTAATGTTAATCTACTTTGTTAAGTTTAAATTGCTATAGTTCACTAAAAGTTTAAAAATGCTCAACTCTTTTCTCATTTTTTGTATGTTCTCACTGGCGAACATAACACTATCCAGATGATATTTTCAGGTGATCAAATTTCGTTGAGTTGTAATAAAATGGTGACAATATTTTTTTAGATACGTATAATTGGCGCACTATGTTTATAGCTTGCCTGACGTTACTATTGCACAATTAATATTTCTAGTTCACCTTCTAGAGAAACATATTTAACGCTATTTGTTATTCCGTGCTTTTTATATTTTTCGTTAGTTATTTCGTTTTAAAAAATCATCCATTTTCCACCATTGTGTCTGGTCTGGATAACTATAGTTCCTGTATGGAGTGGTATCCTTGCTGTAATATTGGACAACTCTTCCGAAAATCGATTCTGGTTGGTTCCGAGGCGAGGGTAATAATTCTGCTCAGAGATCAGAAATTACACCTATATTTTGCCAAAATGTAGCGGAGTACAAAGTTGTCCAAATTCTATGTCATTGACGGCCGACGCATTGTCAATTATGCGCATGCGCTATATATGATAAAAGAGTAAACAATGGTAATCAATAACGTTCTGGGGCCGGTTGTATCAAGCCCTTTTAGGTTAAACGGTGGATAAGTTCAAAGTAGAAAGCATGCACGTCTGCCGTTTTATTCAGCAAACTGAACTAAAAATTTATAATCTATAACATAAATACAAAGACATTGCATACAACTACATATTCAGTGCATAATATTCAAGTTGACTCATTCAAGACATTAATGTAAGAGTGTTATTTAATTTTGAGCCACCGTTAATTTAAGCTAAACGGGCTTGATACAACCGAACCCTGACTGACTAAGACAAAAAGAAAACGTAGTTTACTGCATGCACGAATGTATTTCTGGTGTTGCATGATACATAATATCATGTAATTAGATCGTATAATAAAATAGCGTCATATACTTAGCTAGTATAAATATATATACCTTTTAGTTAGTTAACCTTATTCTCGTAAGACTTACATGCATGAGTAAGCAAAATAGGTATAAGCATGAGCAGGCAATAGCTATGTCCACGCCTAACCGCAAGTGCGTAGCTTGGTGTCAACCACAAAGCCATAGTAGCATGCGCTACAACGCTCTGAATTGCGTAGGGGAAATTACTTGTTGTTTTGCAGTTTCTCTTAGCAAGCGTATATAAGTCCGAGCGCAAGTAGATATAAGCAAGCGATTACAGCCATTACAAGATGCCATAACTGACGATGCTAATTTAAGCTGACGGCTGACCAAATGAACAATATAACATAGATGGATGTATGATGGATTTTCAACTATGGAGCTATTCACTGTTACTCTTACCAGATAAGTTAATGTTAAGAAATAGGATATTGTTAATGTGCTTTGTAAAGTTTAAATTGCTTATTGCTCACTATAATTCACTAAATGTTTTAAAATGCTCAACACTGTTCTCATTTTTTGTTCGTTCTCACCGGCGAACGTAACAATTGGGGGCTCAGGCGGGAAACCTCTTCTCTAAATAGAAGTGGTTGATTTAATTTTGTGATATTTGTCTCTACTTTAAATTAACGTCGTTCAGTTAAAATTCTGCCGACTTAGTCTGAGGCCGAAGTACAATAGTGTTACGTTGGGTTCACTACGTCTTCGTAAAAGGTTTCTGCTAAGATTGTTCCAACGTCTACTCAGTGATGCTTATCAGTATGTAAGGAAAGATTGTATAATTTTGACCACACATTAGTGGGTTGTTGTTAAGTGATGATAGTTCGGTAAATCTCCCGTGAATTAAAATATTGTAAGAGTAAAAGTTATTAAATGAAGTTTAAATTGAATTAAATATTATCGGGTAAATTCCCGTTGTTAAAAATTATTGGCGAGCATTCGGCCGTCTTAAAAAGGGAGTTAAAAATTTATATTGAAGATTTTGTTCTTCTGTTTTAGAATCTTCCAACTATCTGATATTCTGTTGCTAGGGTTTAAGGACGTATCTTTATGTTGCATTGTGTTATCACATGTCATTCTTCGATTAAAATACGTAAAATTAACAAACTAAACATATTGGGTATTAAAATTAAAGAGAAATTCACAATTTAGTGTTAATGAATAAAATAAGTTTAAGTTTAAAATGCCGGTGTAACCCCGACCTCAAATGATAAGTAAATATAAATTGTACGCTAGTCTAAGTCTTATCTGTTAATGAGTACAGAGTTGAGCAATCAGAATCTGGATTTACATCAATGGAAAGGTTATGACCTCAAGGATCCAGCTGTGAATTACAAATCAAGCAAGAGCAATTCTCAAGAAACTTATCAGTAAAAGATCGATATTTTATTGAGTCATAAATGGATATTAGAGAAATAATGGATATATTAAAGTTTAACAAGACATGGATCAAACAGTAAATCTGAAAGTCTCTCTAAGACAACATGATTCGCGAGAACTTATTTGGATTTTTGGAAGTCACTTAGACATTTGAATTTTCTATATGGTCAGAACTGGATGTATTGTGAACTATCTGAATTAAGATGAAAGAAAGTTCTAAAGAACTTCCTTTTCTTTCAAGGGGGAGGGTGTTGCATGATACATAATATCATGTAATTAGATCGTATAATAAAATAGCGTCATATACTTAGCTAGTATAAATATATATACCTTTTAGTTAGTTAACCTTATTCTCGTAAGACTTACATGCATGAGTAAGCAAAATAGGTATAAGCATGAGCAGGCAATAGCTATGTCCACGCCTAACCGCAAGTGCGTAGCTTGGTGTCAACCACAAAGCCATAGTAGCATGCGCTACAACGCTCTAAATTGCGTAGGGGAAATTACTTGTTGTTTTGCAGTTTCTCTTAGCAAGCGTATATAAGTCCGAGCGCAAGTAGATATAAGCAAGCGATTACAGCCATTACAAGATGCCATAACTGACGATGCTAATTTAAGCTGACGGCTGACCAAATGAACAATATAACATAGATGGATGTATGATGGATTTTCAACTATGGAGCTATTCACTGTTACTCTTACCAGATAAGTTAATGTTAAGAAATAGGATATTGTTAATGTGCTTTGTAAAGTTTAAATTGCTTATTGCTCACTATAATTCACTAAATGTTTTAAAATGCTCAACACTGTTCTCATTTTTTGTTCGTTCTCACCGGCGAACGTAACACTGGTAATAACACTGCCGAAATAATCAGTAAGAATGAATGCAAAATCATCTGTATATAATTAAAGATTAGCGTAACGCTGTTACTACTTGTAAAAAAACGAGAATTAAATCAAGAATATCATCAAATATTGACGTGTTTAAATTTACATTATAATATAACATTTTTAGTACGCGCGTGCTGATTGGTCGAGAAGCGTGTTTCTGAAACTGTATAGAAACACGGGACTTTTCCCGCGGAACTTGACAAGCGAAGTAATGTAATGAGAATTTGTAATTGAATCGGATTATAATATTTGTACAAAATCTTTTTATTGAGTTATTTTATAAAATAATTTTTTTCCTGTGTTTCTATACAGTTTTATAAACACTTGTGGGAGTTTGGGCGAACTCGAAATAACGTGGAAAATTCCCATTGATTATTTTTTGTTCTCCCGAACTCCCACGCGTGTTTCTATAACTACTGTATAGAAACATGGAAAATATTTTCTATTTCTTAATTAACATCGTTATCTGTTCTCTATTTACTTTTCTTTTCAACAAATCTAACATTCTTCAGGGAAACGTCGACTCGGCGAATTTAAATTAAGAAAATGAAATTATGCCCGTCAAAATTTTAATGTTGGGAGACACTCACTACAAGCCAAAGGACAACTTTAGACTAATTTCATATCTCAGCGATAAAGAGGAACTTTTCTGAAAGAGAAGCTTACTAAAATTAGTAAAACTGCCAAGTTTGGCTGCGAATTGTTGTAAATTATGGAAAATATAACCATGCGAAGTGTTCGATTTTTTTATACTTTTGTATTACGGCCGGAAGTTTTATCGAGATTGCGTTGATACAATTTAAATGGTATCACAAATACACCAACGTATGTTCCCCCGTTTCCGGGTGTAATTCCTAATCTCCGGGCAGAATTAATACCCTCCCACGATGCTTCGCACCGGCTCGGGGATAAAATAGAATGTAGATCTGGTAAACGCTGTTTAATGAGGAATCTTTAAGTACCTCCAACCTTCAATTTGTAAATTTTTTTCAGGCTTTAGGTGCTCCTTAGTTTCACTATATTTTTTTACAGCTCCTTGGTTTCACTATATTTTTTTACAGCTACAGCTATTTAATGATTCCACCTTTTCATTTATTTTAAAATTTTACTGCGCATTTGCAAAAATAAACTTGCGAATATTTTATTGAATGCTCTACGTTTTCTTTCGCGCTGCATTTTCAATAAATCACAAGATTCTATGAGGAAGAATCTGTTGTTATCTTCTCAGTGCATGTTACGCTATTGGAGACTGTTGTCTTCTTACGTCTGGTCGACGAATTATTTGATGAAAAACACGTATGAAGGCTTTTCTGTACGTTTGGTCGAGACAGGCGTAAATTATTGGATTGCACATGCTGTTCAGTAATGGAAGTGCGCGCATTGTATAAAAGAGAATGTAAATCCCGTGAATGGTGCTTAGTGAGGAATTATTACTCACATAAAGCAATGTTGGATGGTAAATTGAAAGTACTATCGTTATAATCCGAGGACACCAGCAACATATGAAAACTCCAACAACAACCAATAACATTTTAATCACTTTTAAATCTTGACGAAATACAGCTTGTCGGCTCGGGTTGTTTATTTGACCCAGTTCCCCGTTTAAGAACATCTTCTGGCGTTTATGAACCACAAGAAAAATGAGAACGTACATAATTATTATGCATATGGTGGGAAGCATAAATGCAATGATTGATAAAAGGGTATAAAATCCTTTGATTTCATTTAGGTCGTTTACACTGCAAGGACCGACACCGCCGTCCAAAATTCCACTGCTGCCTGCAAATGGAGTGGCGGCGTACGTGGCAATGGAGGATGAAATGAAAACAATCAGGAAAATTATTTTCACTGATCTGGAAGTTGTCATTCGTGACTTATATTGAAGTGGTTTGCTGATTTTAAGATATCGATCAACACTGATGAATGTCAATGTGTAAATGGATGTTGTCAACGCAAAAGTGTCAATCCACACTAAAAAGCGACACAGATGAATTGAGATTGAATTTTTCTGTTCAGGATCAAGATTGAGTTGATACAACTTGAATGGTATCACCAACACACCAACGATAAGATCAGCCACAGCCAGAAAAACAATAAAATATTTATTTGGTTGATGAAGACTTCTTTCTCTCCAGGTCACAATCAACACCAAAGCATTTCCCAGAAGTGTGCAAATGGCGATGAAAATCAACATAATTTCGTAAAATAAAAAAAATCGTTCCGGGAATTTTGCCAATCTATTTTCTGTCATCCCTGATTGATTAGTATACTTAAACTGTATACCACTGATATTCGTTGACAGCATTATTTCTGGGCACTATTTAAAATAGATTTAGAAATATAAGTTTAGAAAATGATAGTCAACGACTGCGGTCAGAAATGTGTACGGGTGTGGCAAAATATACCTATCTACACATTTGTACGTTATTTTGTTTCCTTCGTTGAAACTTTTTGCGAACGGCTTACAAGGCCTTGTAGGAAATATTCATGTATTACGAAAGTCGAATTATATAATAACGTTAAGAATTAAAGCAATTTCGTTGTGTCGAGAACCATGAACTATCAGCGGACAGACGCACGGAATGACGTCACAGATAATTTTAACGAATTTACTCAGTCATTCTTGTTTTATTTTTTGAGCCAATCACATTTTAGCACGTCTCCTAAGCTAGCCAATAGCATTTCTTCAATCCAATGGCATATCTTCAATCCTATAAATCATGTACGTGTATAAATCATGTTTGCAAAATTTCTACTTTGACAAGATGAGAACAAAAAATTTCTCGCCCCGGCGGGTCGTGGCCACTTTGTCTTGTTATTATCATAAATCATCTCATACCGTGTATCTATAACTGAATAGACAACGGTTCAATGTTATCTATTTGTTAAATCATTGCCAAGTACATACAGGTTACACTAAAAATAAGTACATGCATGCAGCAAGCCCTTGCTATTCCAAAACAAGCACAAAATCTCCTGTGGTAGCACGACGTAAACTTTTCATTACTATATATGAAATGACGGGAAGCTCACTTAAGGTTATATTATGACTTTGAAGTTAGATGTTTCGTTATTTATGTTAAGGTTTACCTGATTACTCTCAAATCCACAACTGCAACTCCATGGACCTTAAGTATAATCCTTTATAGACACAAGATAGGAATTGGTTTTTTATATTTCTTTTGCTCTAAACTCGGCAAAAATCGTATATTCCTGAATGATTTAATGGAATTGGTTGGGAGAAAATTGCGTTGCATTGGCAAAACCGTCTGTTTAATAAGAGTAGCAAGGATTAATTTAGAAAATCTTAGTTATTTTGTCTTAGTTATTTATTAATTGAAAACGCTCACGTGTGAGTCTGCTTTTTATAATTAAACGTAAAGAAAAAAGAAAAAAATTAACATATTTTATAGTGCTACTGCATGTTATTAATTTTTACTTTGTCTAGCAAAAAGATCGTCAAGTGTATAAATTTCGCTCGCACGTGTGGAGTGGGGTCGTGTAGGAGTGCAACGCTACATTGCTTTAACTGTTATTACGATCAAAACAATTGTAAACCTAGGAGTGGTATAATAATAGTGTAACTCGATAACTCGTAAAGTGACCAGCATATAGAAAATTCTGAAATAAAAATAATGAAATAATAAGAAGTTCGGTTTCTTGTTTGCTGTTAGCAGAATATTTGCATGGACTTTTCATCTTCAATTTGCGAATATTAACATTTTTTGCAGTCTCGCACCACCAGGGCCTCCGGCCTCTGAGAGGCTTTAGCTACGGCTTTGGTCTCACCGTATTTTTCCAGCTACGCGAAAAAAGACTACCGTATTGTGACTGCATGGATTACTAAAATTTATTTTTTTTATGACAGAAATAATGCCCTAAAATTATTTTATCGATTCCACCTTTTTTTAATTTAAAATTTTTACATATTACCTATTTGTAGAAATAATCTTCTAATATTCAACGTTTTCTTAAACGCCGCATTTAATAAAGTCACGAGATTACTCGAGGGAGAGTAGGTTTTTAACCTCTCGATGGGCGTAACGCTAATGGTGGCTGTTGTCGGCTTAAATCTGGCCGGTGAATTATTCGTTCAAAAAGACGTTTAAAGGCTTCTCTGTATGTTTGGTCAAGACAGGCGTAAATTATTGGATTGCACATACTGTTCAGTAATGGAAGCGCACGCATTGCATAACCGAAAACTAAGATGAAGTAAAAGGTGTTTAGTGAGGTAACAACAAATGCACTTGAATAATTCGAAAGAAATACTATTATAATCCAAGGACACCAGCAACATATAAAAACTCCAACGACAAGCAGCAGCATTTTTATCACTTTTAAATCTTGACGAAATGCACCTTGTTGATTCTGATTGTTTATTTCACCCAGTTCCCCATTTAAGAACATCTTCTGTCGTTTATGAGCAATACGAAAAATGAGAACGTACATAATCATTAATCTTATCCAGGTTGTTAACATTGTTTATACTGCAAGGACCGACACCGCCGTCCAAAATTCCAACGCTGCCTGCAAATGGAGTGGCGGCGTACGTGGCAATGGAGGATGAAATGAAAACAATCAGGAAAATCATTTTCACTGATCTGGAAGTTGTCATTCGTGATTTATATTGAAGTGGCTTGCTGATTTTGAGATATCGATCAAAACTGATAAATGTCAACGTGTAAATGGATGTTGATAAAGTAAATGTGTCAATCCAAACTAAAAAGCGACAAAGATGAACAGACATTGTACGTATTGATTCAATATCGAGAAGGAGTTTATAAAATCGCAATGGTATCACAAACACACCAACGAGAAGATCAGCCACAGCCAGAAAAGCAATAAAATATTTACTTGGTTGATGAAGACTTCTTTCTCTCCAGGTCACAATCAAGACCGAAGTATTTCCCAAAATAATAAAAAAAGCGATGAAAATTATTATAATTCCGTAGGATAAATTCAGCCGCTTAATGAATTCTATTATGGTGGACAAACTGCTGTCGGTCATCCCTGATTGGCTCGTCTGATCATGCTGTGTACCATTGATATTGGTTGGAAACATTATTGTAAATCTTGGCTCTATTGAAATTACAGAATAAATATTTTTGAATCCGAATAAAGTAGTCAATATATTTACGCTGATGCGCCCGCCAAGGAAAAGTCATCAATAAATTGTATAGACAGCGTAAGATCAAACAGTGATCAGAAACGCTGGCATGTGAACATGATTTAAGCCCCGTTTACACTACACTCGATTTATTGGCACGGCATGGCTAAAATTATTTCCCGACCCCAATTTTATTAGTGTTCGATGAAAATTATTATAATTCGTACGATAAATGCAGCTGCTTAAGAAATTCTGTCATGGTGGACAATCTTCTGTCGGTCATCCCTGATTGGTTTGTATGATTATTCTGTGTACCATTGATATTGGTTGCCAACATTATTTCTAAAATTAGCCCTATTGAAATTAAAGGATACAAATTGGAAATGAAAGGTAACATTTTGGGAAATTGTCAATGGTTGTGCCGATGCGGAAATTTTACGGACATGCAGGGTACGTAATTTGCTTCCCGTAGGCTTAACTGCAAGTTTGTAGAAATACTGACAAAGCCATAGAATATGTTCAAGAATTACGGAAAATTGATCATTTGTCTCTAAAGCACGAACATTTGTAACTAAATGATTGGCAAGTGGTTGCGGAAGAAAAGTCGAGTAAATTTGTAAATGGAGTAAGTTGAGCTGTAATTTGTAAGTTGAGCTGGTTCACAGTTTTTTATAGGGAAAACTCTAAACTTAGAAATCTAATTATTCCAAGCTTTGCATGCAATGCAAGCCGCAATGGTTACTATATTCACAGCTACAGTAAATACTAAATAGGAAAACCTTATTGTGCTGCCAAGTTTTAATTTCTCGTCTATTTACCTTCTCACAAACACATAATAATTTGAAATATATCTCGGAGACTCGTGATTCTGACCAGTTCGTTACGATCAAATCTCTTTAAATGTTTTGGTCTCTTGGTACTTTCCTGGTATAGGCTCTCCTCGCTTGTCGCTTGGTGCTTGCGGAAGGCTTGTGTTATCAACTAAGACTGTCTGCTTTTACGGACCAGGCTGTTCTCAAAAGGTGATTATTTTTCTTCAATAAATGAGATACTTGTCATGACGTTTCAATAAAAACGACTGTGCTTTTATTGCATCACCAATTGATAATAATCAAGGTTCTGTCAAAATAGTCATATAATATTTAGCTATGTATTCTTCATGTAAATCGTGACAATTTACCGCCAGGTTTATTTCATTGCTATTAAATGTACGTTAAGTATATAAACTATTTATAGCAGGAGTCGGCTGGATAAGAGTGGGAACGTTTAATTCAAATTAATAAAGACCGTCGACTGTCAATATACTGCTTACATAATTAAAAATTTCATTATACAACAAAAATTTATTTGAATAAAGGAGAATGAAACGAAAACAATCAGAAAGATTATTTCCGTTGGTAGTTTGGTACTTCCTATAAACGCTTGTATTTTAGACAACGACGTGTTCTTCCAGTTCTCAAAAGATACGTTTTTTAATATTATAATTATAATGATACTGGTCATAACGTTTCGATCAATAAGTAATGTGCTTTTATTGCATAGTCAATTCAATAATTATCAAGTCTCTGTCAATGATAGTACTCAGTATTTCAAACGTTAAACGACACTACTATGTGTCTCCTTGCATGTACATCTTGTTACCCCCTCATTTTAAGCTCTTATGGACAACAACAACACGCTTAGTATAATCCTGGTATATATAGGATAATCCTTTCGTATAGGATTTTCAAAAATCGATCGCAAAAAAAAAAGAACTCCTCTTTTCCCCTGCCGCCAGCTTGTTTTGCAAACACTGTAAAAAATGTGTTAAAATAAATATTTTGGAAGGGCTGACTTTATTGTAGCCTGATGAAAAAGCGATCGCGAATTAAAACATTCTTAAAATGAGCAGTTTTCTGTAAGATTAATTTAAAAGTTTTCATTAAAAGAGATAAGGACTGTAAAATTAATATACTATAAATAATTAAACTTTCATAAACGAAAATGAAGAAAATTACCGAAGAAAAACGACAATTATTTCAATGATATTAATTTATATTTAAAAATCATTGGTTACTTTGTCTTACAGAAAGAATAACGCGCTCGATCCCTCCACTCGATAGAGTGAAGCTTCTCTACGTGAGAAACATTTGTCAAATTAATTTGATATTCCTTTATTCACCATTTTCCATTATTCATTTTTAACTTTTTAATTATATTCGGCGATATTTCGCATGAAGCGTGGTATATCTCAAAAAACAATAGGCCACACCCAGACAATTTTCGGATTTCTTAAAGTCTAGGACAACATTTCCTGCATGTAAATTTTAGCTGGCCTTTTCTTTATTGTAATCTGATAAAAAATATCAGGTAAACCTATTTCGCAAACAATTGTTTCGCTTCGAGCTCACTTCAAACGGAGTATGCAAAAAATGTTCTCGAAAACAAGAACTTGCGTACTTAATGACAGGTCAGATGAATGAACGATTGTTAGCTTTCCGGTATAGTCCCAAAGCTATTGCATGTGTTGGCTTCTCCAGTCTGGTCGACACATCATTCGATGAAAAAGACGTTTGAAGGCTTCTCTGTATGTTTGGTCGAACCAGGCATAAATGATAGGATTGCACATGCTGTTCAGTAATGGAAGCGCGCGTATTACAACAAATGCTATGTAATATCTGTAACTAACACCATATATATATGGATGATAAAACGACAGCAAAATCGTTACAATCCACGGAAACCAGCAACATATAAAAACTCCAACAACAACCAACAACATTTTAATCACTTTTATATCTTGACGAAGTGCAGCTCGTCGATTTTGATTGTTTATTTGGCCCAGTTCCCCGTTTAAAAACGTCTTCTGTCGTTTATGAGCAACAAGAAAAATGAAAACGTACATAATCAGCATGAATATGGTGGGAAGAAAAAACACAATGATTGATAAAAAAGTGAAAAATGCTTTGCTTCGGTCGTCAAGATGGATTAAAATGCAAGGACCAACGCCATTTTCTAAAAGTGCAATGTTTCCAGGATGTGGAGCAGCGGCGTACGTGGCAATGGACGATGAAATGAAAACAATGAGGAATATTATTTTTACTAATCTGGAAGTTGTCATTCGTGATTTATATTGAAGTGGCTTGCTGATTTTGAGATATCGATCAAAACTGATGAAGTTAAGTGTGCAGATAGATGTTGTTAGCGCAAATGTGTCAATCCACGCTGAAAGCGACAGAGGTGAACTGACATTGCATTTTTCTGTTCAGCATCAAGACTGAGTTGATACAATTTCAATGGTATCACAACAAATCCAACGATAAGATCAGCCCCAGCCAGAAAAGCGATAAAGTATTTATTTGGTTGATGAAGACTTCTTTCTTTCCAGGTCACAATCAACACCAAAATATTTCCAAAGAATGTGAAGATGGCGATTAAAACTAACAAAGATACGTGATACGGAAGAGATTGTTTCTCGTGTGCTAACACGTCTGTCCACTTGTTAATATCTGTCGTCCCTGATTGATTTGTGAAGTTATCAGTGGCCATGATACTTTTTCAAACGCTCGATTACACTGGTTCTAAATTAAAAAAAAAAATTCAACCACGTTAATCCTCGTTTAACAAAAGGCAGCAATAATTGGTCGTGCATAACACATGCAGATAGTAAAGATTCAGTGAATTGTCTGAAAGTTATCATAGATTTTCGAAATGAATATGCTTGGGTGCGATCACAATAATGTTTCTTTAAAACAAAACAAACCCTGGATAAAAGCACAAAATTATGCGATTCTGATTTAGAGAAAATTTGAATTTCTGTTTTGTCTCTCGCTATGTAAAATATGCAACAATTATCGATGAAAATTTGAGCGGATGAAATCATGAAAATTTAGGCCGATGCCAAATCGATTATTCTCTTGAAGAAATTTCTAAAGCTTCAGCAAGCATAATTTGTAGAACTGTTTCTTCCGCTAGCTGCCCTGGTAGTGGATGCATTCTGGTTTAATGCCATGGTGGAGGAACAAAATGGTATGTTCCTTACATGATTGAACGACATTGTGCTTTACGCCATAATTAAAAATGAAAAGCTCTAGTAAAATTACAGAACATAAACTGATATGCAAAGGTCCAATAAAGGCTATTATTAATATATTATTTAACAACAAAGCAACACAAACTGTGAGGAAGGACAACCTTGAAAGCTGACTTTACCTGTATTTATCATTGAATATCCACTAGGTAATATATGGAATCTCTTCCCTGACTACCGCCAGTCAAACTCTTATATATTCATCGTCTGTTTTTACATCAGACTTTTCAGCTACAATAGATTTCAGCTGACTGACCGACGGTCTTTGTAATAGTTTATGGCTTCGCTTCACCATCAGTCAAACCCCGATGAAGTTACGTTATTGGATAACGTCCTATTATCAACTATTTCGTTTTAACGTTCGTTGACATTAAAATAAAATGAGTAACTCAAGAAATATCTATTCATCACTGTAATCAATCTCTCTTTTATTAAAAATGAACGTTTATTAAGAACAATATTTTTCAGTTCGACATTGCATAATTTGCTTTTCTATGTTTGGTACAGAATAACATTCATTTCATTTTGCCAAAAGGAACATGGATTTTGCTATTACAACAATAATATCTGGGATTTAGAAAATAAATGTATCGTCATTATATTATATATGATAAAACGCGCTACATTTAACCAATCAGAAATGACAGGGGAAAATTCTTTAATATAACGTTACACCAATATGCTCAATAGCTGAGATAATCAATTCCTACTTTAAATTACAACGAGCTCGAATTAACGCCGCATTAGCAGCTGAATTTAATCGACACCCAAGATGTTTATATGAATCTCATTTCTAATTCATATTTGTCCATTTCTGTTCTGCTCTTAATTGAATAAAATGCTACTGAATAAATTAACACAAGTCCAAATTTCTTTCTAAATTCGTATTTTGCAATCTGTGGCCTGCCGCCTGCCTGTGAAATGGCCATTTTGAGACTGAAACTATAAACACCAGGTTATTTATTTAGGGGCCGTTCACACTAGCCATTTAGATATCGATCCGAGATCGATTTGGAGCCACATTGGGCCAAATGTGGACGGTGGAAAACGAGCCGAAACCGAATCGAGATCGAATAGAGTGCAACAGTCGATAAAACCGCAAGTTTAGGACATGTCGTCACCATCACTTTGAAATTACATGTTTTTTGAGTATAACTAATGCGAAGTGCATTTTCCTACCATGAAATTGACTCTGTTTTGACACCCTGGAATTTTAATCTTTGTTTGACATATTTTGAGATATATCTCGGCAAAAATCAATAAGAAGTTAATTCATATATAGAAAACAAATTATAACATTGACGTAGAATCGAACGTTAGGTTCTTATAGTTGATTGCATGGTCATCGCACTATTCGGTGAAAAAGACGTTTGAAAGATTCTCTGTATGTTTTGTCCAGACAGGCATAAATAATTGGATTGCACATACTGTTAAGTAAAGGAAGTATGCTTATTACAAAAAATGTTATATAATATCCGTGGCCAACACCAAGTACATTTCCATAATAAAACATCACCAACATCACAATAGCCCACGGACCCCAGCAACATATGAAAACTCCAACGACAACCAATAACATTTTAATCACTTTTAGATCTTGACGAAATGAGCCACGTTGGTTCTGATTGTTTATTTGACCCAGTTCCCCATTTAGGAACATCTTCTTTCGTTTATGAGCAACAAGAAAAATGAGAACGTACATAATCATTATGATTATGGAGGGAAGAAAAAAACCACCAATTGATAAAAAGGTGAACAATCCTTTCATTTCATTCAATACCTTGGTTCGTAATTTGCAGGGACCGACGCCATTCACCAAGTGTCCAATGCCCCCTGAATGAAGGGTGACGGCGTATGTTGCAATGAAAGTTGAAATGATAAGAATTAGGAAAATTATTTTTACTGATCTGGAAGTTGTCATTCGTGATTTATATTGAAGTGGTTTGCTGATTTTGAGATATCGATCAAAACTGATGAATGTCAACGTGTAAATTGATATTGTAAAAGCAAAGGTGTCAATCCACACTAAAAATCTACACAGATGAAGAGACATTGTACTTAGTGATTCATGATCTAGATTGCGTTGGTACAATTTCAATGGTATCAGCAACACACCAACGAGAAGATCAGCCACAGCCAGAAAAGCAATAAAATATTTATTTGGTTGATGAAGACCTCTTTCCCTCCAGGTCGCAATCAAGACTAAGGTATTTCCTAGAAGTGTGAAGATGGCGATGAAAACCAAGATAATGAGGTAGCAAAGAGCAATTTGTTCCTGAAAGTCCAAGTCCAAGTTCATCCTTCCAGCGTTGATATAGTTCTTGACATCAATGTCATGGAAAAAACTTCAACTTTTCATTTAAAGATCGAGCGACGCTTACTTCTCACCGAACTGAAATAAAATTTACATTAACATGTTTTTAGGTCCAAACTACTTGCAATTTGGAACGCATACGGCAGATGCTCTTTTAAATAAGGTGATGCACCACAAAATGATGTAGAGAATACTGTGCCATACTGGACCAGGCAGATCATTTCTGTCCTCATACAATCGGTATAGTTAATAATCAAACGAGCCCTGGCAGCTGCTCGATCGTTTTATTTAAATCCCGGTAAAAAAATTTACATTAAATTTCGAAGCGTCTGTGCACGAATGATTTAGGATAGAAATATAGGCACAATTTTCAATATGATCTGCATGGTTATGGAGTTAAAATAATTGTACAAAAGAGCAAATATATACCTAGAACACATGAAGCTTTTCTTTTTCTATAATCCGAAAATCAACATGATTTTTCGAACGAATTTGAACTGAAACTAAGAATGAAAGTCTTTATAATTTGAGCTGGATAATTCAATAGCACCATGCAGCATTTTACCTTCTAGTTTATATCGCTAATATTCCCACTTTCTTTCCCCTCTGAGTTAAAATTCAGATGTTGACGATGTTCAAGGTTTTTACAAACCGTGTAATAATACTTTCAGCTGCACGACGGCTTTAATGAAGCTACAACATGATCGTAAGTTGATTATTAATGTTTCAGTAAGTATTGCAGAAGTAATAAAATCCAGATGAAGGTTCCATCAATACTGATATGTTGTTGAAAATTAAAACATTGATTATATTTCATTTAATGCCTAAATGAAACCTGGCTCAGGGATGACGCTCTTGAATTTTTTAATTTGCTTTCTCATAACTAGACGAGAAATGCATTTTGTACAAACAAAGGCTTTCAACTGACATATGCCTTCCTCGTGAAGAAACGTGTTTAAAAGGAATTTAGATAAATTATTATATAATTTAATCTGGCATCAAATGTGGTATAACAACTGCCTAAATAGACAAAACACTTCTCGACGTTTCGACCTGAGGGCCTTCGTCAGGAAAGTTAGTAAGACTAACTGTCCTGACTAAAGCCCTCTAACTCCTAATACTAACTCTCCTGACGAAGGCCCTTAGGTCGAAACGTCGAGAAGTGTTTTGTCTATTTAGGCAGTTGTTATACCACATTTGATGCTAAGTTGTTTGAAGACGCTGCCACGCTGCCCCTTGGTTATATTGGAATATAATCTGGTGGCTTTCATTTGTTAACCAACATCGGTTTCGAAACTAGTGTATTCACGGATTCTAGAGATCATTTCTGGAAAAGTCTCATTGTCAGACAACGCATAGTTTTATATCATAAGGTACGTTCGGTTGGTGTTTTAAGTCACCAGCAGATTTTGTAAAAACTATTCTTATCATTCACACAGGTTGATCAATCTGGGGCAAAATTCAAATCGGCATGCATATAAATTATACGGTAATACATCGCCTTAAATCTATAAGCATAAAAAAGCACTTTTATTTGAAAAATCATACAAGAATTTGGAATATTCTTTTAAAAAATAGATTAAAAATCTAAACTCAGTTTATTAACAATGATACTGTGACCATTTATAAGTTACCGTTCGTCTTCATCCTGTCCATTGCCCAGCGGAACAAAACCTTTTCCACCGCATCTTTCACAGTATGTGTTATTCTTTCTCTTTCCCCAAATATGGTCGATACAATACTTTAGAGGAGGCTTGGTCGAGCCTTTCTCATCTTGCTCTGGTCCAACCAGAGCTAGCACGGTGGTGAAGAATACCAGGGAGAACAAGATTGAGAGCCCGATGGTGCAAAACATGAAAATTCCAAATTGAAAAAAGAAAACAATTTTCGCTCCCAGCATAAAAACCGACGCCCCGAGTGTAGAACAAGCGCCTGAGAGAACTGAGATTCCAACATGGGTAAGGGTGTGACGGACCTTAGTCAGCCGATCTTGACCAACTAGGTCCATGTAACCTTCTGCCAAATGAACCACATAGTCAACTGCGAGACCGACGACTAATGTGAGATTCAGTGATTCGAGAACTCCGAGCTTCCAGCCAATCATTGCGATTATACCAAGTACGGAGCATGTGATCAGGGAAATGGTCAACGAAGCAAGAGTTCCAACTATGATATTCGTTGTTGCCATAACAAGAACGACGAAGGACGAAAACAGACCAATTAAAATGCCTGTAATTGCACTTCGCACTAAAATCTAAAAACCAAAAGGTAAATTAATAAATTATAACAATTATGCAGTAAGGGCATATTCAGCCAAGTATCTACCAACTTAAAAAAATCAAACACCTTAATAGGGACGTTCCCAAAATGTGCTTGAGTGTCATGATCTGAGCCTTATAGGAAGTGAATGTTAAACGAGTTCTATTGGTAAATTAAACATGATCGTATAAAATTATTTAAATTCCTGTTTAAACCCAGTGGTCTTCAAACTTTTCCCAAAAGGAGAAATGAGAGAACTGGTATAGCTTATTATATAATTATATGCTTTGAAAAGTCTCGTAAAGTGTAGTTACCTCTTGAACTTTTAACCAATGCCATGCATTGTTAATCCCTACTGTTGCTTGAAAACCGTTGGCACATGATGGCGGCATCTCTTTCATCTGAAATCAGAGAACAGGTTGAAGTTTTTATGGAAGATCGTTACGAAATAAAATCATCAACAATTGGAGTACATCAGGGCACTTTCTTCAGGCAACTGAACAAAAGATTAATGTATTTATACCATAGAACAATAGAAGCTCCGTAAAAGATAAAAATTTCTATAGTTTTATATTTCATCGAAATACTTAGTGGTTCCCTAAGTATCTATACTGGTATTTGTAATACGCAGAAACAAAAAGAGCACCTTCGATTTTACAATGGTGTTTGCAGCTGTATTAGCTTCTCCGAAAAGCCGCTTTTCATTACAAAAAGGGCACTTTTTAATCCCTTGAAAACTTTTGGGGGGCACGTGCCACCCCCCCCCCCCTCTGTCCCTCCGGTTCCTATGCTCCTGCCAAACCAGCAGAGTACGCATGAGCATCAGTAATGATAGAGCTTAAATTACACAACAATGTTTTACTGCTTTGCCCAAACTCATTTGAACTAAATAGGGTTAACTTTGTTTCTCTATATACAGTTACTGAAATATGATTTAACCTTTTCGTTAACAAAGTCCTCCCAATTATTGTAGATTGGTAATCCATCTTTGTAGGATAGGGAAGAAGGGTCCAATGTTGTGTTCAGTGCAATGGCCATAAACTTTAAACGATGACCGTACTTATTTCCTAAGAAATATAAGATGTAATGAACGTTAGACCCGTGAAAACTGTTCTTTGAGATTGAATGTTTATAATTCATCTACCGGTAACAGCTTTAATAGGCAGCTTTAGCTGTGGCTACGAGTACGAGTACGACTGCGAGATTCGTCATTCTCGCGTGCTGTTTGCTTACGCCATCAGCCAAAACTCGTAGTCGCCGAGCTTTTGAGTACGAGTTTCTTGATAAATTTCGTACTCGAAAGCCCAACGACTACGAGTTTTGGCTGATGGCGTAAGCAAACAACGCGCGAGAATGACGAATCTCTTACTCTTAGTCACTGCTAAAGCTCTCTAATAAAAGTTCAGACTACCAAAACCGACATATTTAATCTCATTTTAAAAAAATCCAAATGAAATCGCTCAAAATGAAGAAACAAGGTTGATTAAACAAACAGCTAGCTTACAACCTCTCGTTGTTGTGGTTTACAATTTCTTGCTGTTTTTTTCTCATTATTTAATTGATCACCTTGTATGAGATTCTTTGATCCTTTTTCCATGCTGGTATCTAGAGTTCCTCCAATCAATGGACTATATATTTCAAAATCGTAACTATTTGCGTACTCGGGGGATTTACCATCAAAAATAAAGAATCCAAGCGCCACCTCAAAGAACCTGTAGTATGTATCTGGCAACAAGGAGACGTTAAAAAGTTGAGGATTCGCGATCATTAACTGTCGTATTTTTTCTCCACTTGTAGGAAGACTGAAATCAGATCCATCAGGATATTTCGACTTGTTACTTTCAATCTGGAAGAAAAGTTCAGTGCATGAAGTTTTAAAAGAATATCTCAGTTACTCAGTTTATTATTATTCAAAAACATTTATTATTTTTGCACACAGATTATAAATTCAGCTAGAAGCTAAATGGCAAATACAGCCTCGAATACATGAACATTTCCCAGAAAAAATAGGATATTTTGTGATTCCGGACCTTTACGAAGGTGACCGGAACTGTCGAAATCGGATAAAGCCCGTTCCCTTCCAAACTAAGCTTAAAATCTATCAGACTGGTTGTATCAAGCCTGTTTAGCTGAAACGGTGGATAAGTTCAAATTAGAAAGTAAGTCCAACGTTACATTCAACAAGCGAACTAAATGTTTTTTTACCTTATAAATGTTTTTTTACCTTAATACAACGATACTGTTTACAACTACATATTCAGTGCATAATATTCAAGTTGACTCATTCAAGAGAGATGTAAGAGTGTTATATTTAATTTTGACATATCCACCGTTTAAGTTAATCGGGCTTGATACAACCGGCCCCTAGTAGCCAAGTTACCCAACCTATATAGCCACATTATGTTTATTCAAATATTCAGTTCTGCCCGACTTAGCTTATATAAAAGCTTATACAAAATAGCTTTTACAAAATTATATAATAAAGCTTATAAAAAAAAAGCTTATACAAAATTATATAATAGCTTATACACAAGACGTCAGTTGGGCAAAACTGAATAATTATATGAATTAACAAACATCTCCACCTCCCACCCCTTAATTAATTATCGTTCTAGTTACGCCGCTGAACAAAATTCGGCAATGCGATCGCTGAGCGAAGTTGCAACCATGCAGCGAGTTTTTTCTTCGCCATCAAGATCTTTTGAAAAAATTTATTTCCAAAAGATGATGACACGGAGATGAATCTTTAAAAATTAACGAATAATCTGAAAGGTTGCTATGTGGAAACAAACGTAACACATACCGTCAACCACTCATCCAGTCTCTCGAAAATACACTGTACTTCAACCTTTCCGGTGACTTCACTTCGTCGTAGTCTTAGATCATACTCTTGTTCGCTTCGTAAATTTTGAAGATCATCACAAAATGTCTACAATGTGGTGAATAATTATTAAGAGTTAATTAAAATTTTCATTAACTTGTTTGTGTTTATGAATGTTTCAGGGAGGATAAAGGCCCTGTTACAACTTGCAACTTGCAGTGCAATGCTACTTTTGAGAGATGTAGGTAAAAATTTGGCAACTACGTAACTTTCATGTTTATCACGCTCCGTGTACCTTTCTTACAATTACGTTTCCTACAATCCATAGGAAACAACAGTAACTTTAACAGCATGCACATGCGCAAATCCAGCTGTTTTTCTCTTTCGTTTATCATAACACATAAAATTATCAAAAAAAAAAGGATGCAGTTCTTGTATAATAATGAAGGTTCATGCAAATTAACAAGTCAAAAGATTGGATTACGCGGGATCTCTAATCTGGGAAGAAGTGACGTTCCTTTCACAATAATATTCAATTGTATTGTACGTAACCTTGCCCAGTTTAGAATAGTAGATTCGTTAGGTTGAAATTTCTTCAAGGGGCGAGGCCCGGGCAGCTATCCCCTCTTTCCTTTGCTGTGTACACCCCCAAGAATAAAGGATGCTTAACCTACCAGCAGAGAAGTTTGACATGGAATGAGATTCATGTCAAAGCTTTCATCAAACACTGTTCTTCCTTTACATTTGAAATCAGTCATATGACAATCGCTACGGTCTTGTTCTTTCAAACCCCAGATGATATGAACAACAATGACATTGTCTTCTTGACTTGGTTTGAACGCACTCTTCCGCAAATCAACGACTTTTCCCCAGTTTGTGTTTGGACCGAACACCTGAGTCTTTGAAACAAAATAAAACATTCTTGCCATAAAATTATAATTATTTCACTCATTCAATAGGCACTTGTAGGATGAGGACGTGAACGTCAAAGACGACGTGAAAATGGCGAGTAAATAGCGTGGCATGTTATAGACGCACAACGTCATTTATTTGCCATTTTCACGTCTTCTTTGATGTTTACGTGATCGTGCTAAATGGTAATCACATTTTTCTCACATATGCATGTGCATGCATGTAAGCGAGGAAACATAAGTGTTTTTTTTAGTTCAGGGGTAATAATGTGATGATAAGACACGCTCATACTTAAGATGACTTAAGAACTTATATTTTTGAAATTCCTTTGAAAAAAAGGGCACATCTTTGTGCATCAAGAAAGAGGGGGACACCGTATCTTCCCTGTCCCGGATTTCGATCCCCAGTTGCATGCGATATTTTCTGACCCTCAGAATTGCATGCATTGATAGTTATATTTAAGAAATCAACTTCAGCATTGTTTAATCAATCAATCTAATAGTGATTGGAGCGTTTTTATTTAGCTACTACCCTCATTTCCAGTTATCATTTCAACCAATGTTATGGAGTCAATTTTAGAAGGAGAGGCGAAAGGCCCACTGGCGCTGTTTCCATACGACAATTTGTGAATAGATTCAAAACATTCATACAAAAATTGAAATAATGATTAGTTCCTACTTGTTCTTTGTCCGGTCCAAGCTGCGCAGCGAATCCAAGAAACACACAAACCAGGATGCTGAAAAACGCCACGACCCCCCAGCGTGTATATTTTTGTGTAACGATCTTCTCATAGAACCAACCGCCAAGAAACGTGATCACGAAATTTCCGTTTGGTCCGTCCACGTTACCGTCTGCTTGTTCAACCTCTTGCATTTCCAGCGGTTGCTGGGGTCTTGTGCGGCGGCATATCGGCCAGAAGCAGCAACGACCTTTTCGTCTCATTTCGTGAAAAATAACGACCGTTGGCAGGAAGAGAGTGCAGGAACAGTAATTGACGGCGACCAGGATTGCCGAAAAGAGGCCGAAAGATGAGACTGCAAGTAATGGTGACTGGACGTTTGATAGAAATGCGATAGTTGTTGTGAGGGAAGTGATGAAGGTAGCCTTAGCAGCACTTCGAAATACCTTTGACAATCGAATTGTGAGGTCCAAATTGGGATAATTGCGACCGTACTCTTTCCATGTGTCCATAAAAACAAAAATGTTGTCAGAACCGATGCCAAGAATTATGAAAATGACGAGAACGTGAAATATACCAATGTATTTGTAGTCGAACACGACGCGATAGATGAAGTTGGCGATATTGAAGCTGGATATGATGCTAAAGATACCCCAGGATGTGATCCAAAAAGAACCCGTTTGTAGCAACATGAACGCAAATATGAACACAAAACTTGCGATAGCCAAAGCCATGTCATAGATAATTTGTGATTTCATTGCTTTGCCCAGGAGTGCCTTTTCAAAATAATAAAGATTCATATCACCAAGTTTATCTTTGTAGATTTCGTTCATCCTGTCACTAAAAACATCAGTTATGATATCATCAGTCTTCTCTTTTTGTTCCTGTTCTTTCTGCTCTGTTGAAAAGTATCCTTTCATGGGCCAACCGAAGTACACGAGAGATCTTGTGTACTTCGAGATTGCTATGTTTCTGTTCATGTCGATGACAGCGTCTCTTCCGATATGAAAATTCAAGATGGCTGCGGTCAATGTGATATTTTTTGCTCTTTCTAGCACTGCAACTATATTATCGAAGCCCGAATCATCAAAAGTAGCATCGATAGATTTAAAAGTACCGTCAAAAAACCTGATGATGGATAATGGTGGTTTACAAGTCTGATTTGAGCCGACGGTTTGCATTTGACACAGTTCACTTTTGTACGTTTGGTCTTCGAATAGTGAATCTTCGTTTGCTTTGATTCGTCTCAGGTTTTCTTTGGTGAATACATTGCCATCTCTGGATTCATAGAACAATTCCAGCTGAGAGTATTGGATACTTCTTTCCTTCTGCCCAGTCGTCACGGAGGAGCTTGGTGTAATAGAATCGTCACTGTGAACGTTCTTCCAAGCATCTGTTCGCAATTTTGTCGAGTCTTCGTTCAGGAATAATGGCAGAGTTGAGAAATCAGGACTTACAATATCATAACCACTTAGCAGTAAGATTACTGTTAACAAAATCATGAAGATCTGAACACACACTCCAATACCTTCAAAAAACAAACAGTAGAAACACACATAAGCCGCAAAATAAGTAGTCAATTTGATTTTAACTCTTTTCTACCAATTTTTTAAAAAAATTAATACACATTCAGAAAATTCAATCATGACATATTTCCGATAAACTTATGATTCCTACAGGCATGTGTTCACCCCTAAGAGAAGTAAAACGTGCTGTAAAGTGTTTTTTATCCGAAAAAAAATGAAGTGCTTTTTAAATTATATATAATTTACAAAATATTTTGCGAATATGACTGCGACTACGGATGTTTTGCGATTATTTTCTTCACTAATAACCACAATTATAAAAAAGCCAAGCAAAAAATGTCATTCAAGTATAGATCAGGTCGATAATATTTGAAAGGAACACATATAAACACAAAACAAGAAAGCTTACCGAAGGCGTATTTCGAGTATTTCACAACCAGTCTGGCATAGGCAATCGGCTTTTCTTCTGTGTCTTGTTCCATTTCAAGAGTAAGCGGTGTCTCACTCTCGCTTTGTCTGTCCATTTCGCTGCCCTTTGATGTTTTTTTTTCCACTTTCTATTGTGTCATCTGGCATATTTTAGTGAAAAAAAGGCCAAAGAAAAGGTAAAAGCAGTAGTTCATCTTAAGTCATCTTGCTTTTGAATGATTATCACGTCATCAAACGAACCAGGCCAGGTATTTTTACCGTATAGTTAAAAGTTCCGGTGACTAATAATATGGCATTGCCATTGAGTTACTCCTGTCTAATCCTATTGTTTTTGCAAACATTTCCAGCTAAAGTATATAAGAGAAAACAGAGTTATTTGCAACTCCAATGTCTTAGCAGAAGAATGTGAAATTAAAGAGTAATTGACCGTATTTAAAAGTTGCAAACTTTGAAACTTTGAACAAGCTCTATTATTGATTTAATATTCATTTATTCATTTATTTATTTATTAAATCATATATGTTAGAAAATGCCAGTTGTCAGTTACCGCCGACTAATTAAATATTTGTTCCTTACAAATACTCTGAAATTGCCATTTTCTGAATTGAAGTGCCACCGTGCGGTTTAACCGATAGAGACACTGAAAATGTTCCTGGGCGCTTGAGTGGGCGTCAAAATGTAAAATGTTGACCTTCGCTGAGCCTAAATTAACAAAATACTTGATTATATCCGGATAGTCCGGTTCACTTTGCTTCTGAAGCCGAAAGGTAGCGTTGGGTGCGATAGCCTACGGGGACAGGAAGTAAAACGATAACTGACGGCTATCTGGGATCAACGTTCCCGTTCATGTAGAGTTCACAGGCCTAAATTCAGAGCTTCCACTATTGAAGGAAATTCCCTTCATAATGGCAACCACGAGGGAGGGAGGGATCAATGTTAATAGGATATATTATGCAGTCTTTTCAAAAGTTCTTTGTCTCTTTCTTTTGTAATTGTTACTCCCTAAGAGAACAGTCATATCTCGCATATGCAAATGAGTTGGCCTAGTTCTTCATGCAGAAACTCGCCGCCATTTTGAAAAAACTGTTTAACTGAAAGATAATCACATATTATTTGGGGTTGCATAACAAATCAGTTTCAGTGGAATTGTGGAAACAATTTTCGGTACTAATCCCTGTACTAACTATTCCTTATTCATGTATTTCTTCTCACCATCAAAAATTTCCTGTCACTATTCCATACTGTTGAATATTATTTGCTTAGTTTGACAACTTCTGACCGTAGATTTTGAAAATCAAACATTACGGGTGTTGAAATTTAGTTCTTGACTTCTTGTGTCCTCAATAATGTGTCATTATTAATGATACTCTATAGTTTCTTCACAGAAATTTACTAAATTTGTGAGTTGTGATCAGCAAAATCTTAAAAATACCACTCGCGTCATCGATCCAAAACAATCATTGGTATGCGGTAATTATCACCAGCATATTCACGTGGAGGGAAAGTGTGTAGGGTCGGGATACTCACGGGGGTCTACACTCACTAGATACGTTTACATTCAAGGTTTGGTAGATTTCTGTAAAATCCAAACAGTAAACATAATCACTGAAATAAACAACAGTAATGATCTTTCTCGAAGGGCAAAAATAAAAGTCGTTGACTCGTTTTAGCACCCCGTATTACGTAAAAATAACCAGTAAATTATCGAATCGAGAACACTTGGATCATCACCAATGATTTATACCAAATTTTTACTATGAGAGCATATATCAATAGTTACTAAGTCTTTCAACTTTCAAGGGATTGTTTTACAGAATACTCAAGCAAAAAATATTCGCTTCGATGCTCGCAGCTTTTTAATATAATGGTTATTTTTATTAGCCAACCAACTATTTACATGTTTGCAAATCGAGTTTCCCTCCTATTCAAAATGGTGGCGCTTTGAATTATGGTTTAGCAGAAGGCAACCATCTTGAATATTCACAATGTAAAGCGCAATACACAATAATTGAAGAGGGTTTTTAACGACTGTAGTATGATCAGGCACGTAACATATTGTGCTTAAACTTAAAGTTGAGGTGCACGCCAAACGACGCTTCTAGACCCCAAATTCTGGAGGCATTATGTCATCTTCACATCCAAACAAACCGCCTGAATCGACTAAGGCATAAGCGGCCATGTTGGAACTGCGGAAAATTTAATTGAAACTATGTTGATTCACTCCTCACACTAAGCTGTCACAGCCTTGATGTCAAACAGATTCTATAGGTTTATATACCACTGTACTTTCAATGATTTGATACAGGGTTTCTTCCCAAAGAAGTGATATTTGAAGGATTTTCTTTAATGACTGTGCACTATGTTAACACTACGAGTAACAAAAATAAACCTTTATTACATACTAGAAGCATAAAATGTTGTGCCTGAGAATACTAGGTTCTTTCAAAAGTTTGGTTACTCACGTTTGGTACACTCTATATATCACGATATATCTAGTTAACTATATCAAAAGGAATATCAATGCTATGTATACATTACCACATCAAGCAGCGTTTCCAAATATTATAGTCCGCTAGTACAAAAATGTATACCCAGCTATTTTACAGTCACTAATATTGCTGCTATATTAAACTTTAATTCTAACACTTTATAAACTCAACTTACACCAAGTAGCAAGTATATGAAACGATATTTTTACAATTTTGATCTGAAAAGAAAAAATTTTTAACTTCTGTTTCCATTAATAGATGTCTATTATATTTTTGGGATATATTTGTTATGTGCATTAGCTAAGTGCGTAGAACTAGAATTGGAATTTCCGAGAATATTCTCTTCATATATACATTATATCATCACCACCACTATCAAACTATTTGGTTGTGACATCCTTTCGACACACTGGACAAGATCGGTTATTCTACAATGGGAGAAAATAGTTTTAAGGCGCTTTTACACTATGCAACTTTCCTTGCAACGTGAAATGCAATTCTAATTTTGAGGGATGTTGAATGTGAAATGCAATTCTAATTTTGTAAAGATGGCTCAAAATGCTCAGAAGACGTTATCGATCGTAAGAAATGTTCGCATTTGACAACCTTAGATGCCTCAGGAGTAGAAATGAAACGAAATTCCACCTTGTTCACAAAATAGCAGCTTACCTTAAGCCATCTGTCAATACACTTGGCATGGAAATCATGATTACATGGCAATCGTCGTAATTTCTCTTTATTAGAGTAGTTCATCATACAAACAACACAAGATCCATTCGAGGAATCTTTAGAAGCCGCGCTGTAGCGAAACGCTGGGATGACTTCCATCTCTGAAACAAACAACGACGACACCGTTTATGTTACGAATCCATCAAGAGGAACATTAAAAATGAAACTTGAATGTGTTGGAAAAAATCCCTAAATACCTAGATAGATCTTTAATTTTTTAGTATGAATGCACAAATTAGGTACCGGTAAATAGGTAAACCTTGATATGATATACAGGCTGGTTTATTGCTGGTATAACTTGCGCTTTATGTACGATTTTTTCTTTTGATAGATGTGAAAAAGAGGAGAGGGCACAAATAACGAATATGTCATAACTGCTAGCTCGTTCGGGCACTTGTATATCATAAAGGCATAAGACGGAGTGTTTCAAGGAATGCAAATGAAAGACATTTTATGTCATAAAACGATATACGTACCACCCTTGGACAGACCCTTTGGTTTAACTTGACCCAATCTTTCCGTCAAACTCCACAAGGCCTAAACAAACAGGAAATCTCCAGTCTAAACTTCTGGTTTTAAACCTCTGGTATTATACCGTGCTATACGTATTCTATGACCGCGGGGTACAAACCTCGTAATCCTCACGCTCCTCATCACCGTCACCAAAGTGACGTAATCGCGAATCTGGACCCCACCAGGATCTGTATAAAACAAGAACAATTGTACTTCATGAACTAACCAACTTAGTGACCGATCCAAACCCGAACAAGCACGGTATGGTTGACGTCGTTACCCCAATCCACATTTATCAGTGCTCCACTATTGTATTGGTAGTCTGGGCACGGATAAAATTGGATTGGGACAGCGACTTTATCCGTACCGTACCTAAGTGTAAACGGAACTTTAGCAAAAAACATTCAGACAACTTTCGACGCGACCGCTAACATTAAAGAATGTTATTTCTAAACGCTTTCATATTCTGTGATTAGGACAACATCGACTAAGAACTGCACGAAATGACGGGTAGTTCCGAGCGAACGCCTCTAACGCGCCTTAACAAGTGAACTGAGATATAACTGGAACGCTAGCTCTGCGAAAAATTTCAAGCCAAGATGGTGGAAATATCAAGTCTTCCTTGTAGGTATGATCCAGGCCTCCACGCGGAAATTTTGTAGATGAAATGGCGGCAATTATGATTTTACCTGTGAAATTTCCGCGCGAGAGGCCTGGATCATACCTACAAGAAAGGCTTCATGTTCCACCATCTTGGCTTCACTCATTAATGAGGGAAAGACAGAGAGCTAGCGTTCCAGTCTTATTTGAGTGGGCTTAACCGCAAAGGTAGGAATAGTTCAGGTACGGACTTCTAACTGTATCAGTTAAAATTAACGGCGTTCGGGAAAATATTTTGTGATCGTTGAGAAAAATACGTAGTCGGTGGTTGCTTGATGCAAATCTATACAAGTTTACTGCCGATGAAAATATAGTCGTTTTTTGAAAAAGATGTGCTGCACTTCAATTTATATCACTTCAGTAAATTTACAGAGGCATGCAACATTCACAGACATTAGTGAGCTCTAGCATGTGACGTTTTTGACAACACAAACGGCATGAGTAACGTGAAAAGACTGGGTCAAGGATTGTGATTTTTGAAAAACAAAAACTTTACTTCCAGTTAACGTACGCGTCGTCAAAAACGTCACTTGCTTAACTCACTATTGTAAAGCTACGGACTGCAAAATACTTACAGCAAGGCAGGCAACATGAGATCTGGTATATCATATGGTCGCAATTCTCTTTCCAAAGGAGGTGACGTTCGAAGATTCTAAAAACATTTGAATAAAGGTTAGAAAACATCGGAAAACACAGCGATAGCCTAAGCGTTGGGTACAGTCCGTAATGTGAACAAACGTATCTCCTAAAATATATTCCCTCAAATATCAAGAACTTTTAGAATATTTAGATCAGAGATATACGAAAAGTAGTAGCTACCTATTGTTACGAGCAGAACCATCGAAGACACTATACAGACGATTCAGTTACGGAATACATTTTTATTTAAGGCTTCAAGAATGAAATACCATAGAGAAGTACGTAGTTAAAACTACGTAACACAATATCTTGTTTTAATATTGCGTTTTTAATATAGACCTTTTTCATAATGACGTCAAACGTTTTGCGGAGCCTATCAAATTTCGTGTAACATCAGATTCTCCGCGTTTGACGTCATTATAAGAAAGGTATATTGGTGATTAACGTAAAGGCTGCTTTCCACTGTAGCGTTTCTCCTTATGCGTGGAAAAATTTAAATGCCTTCAAATTGTTATTATTTAACGAATTGGTTTACAAACGAGTACTAAAATATGCGGAAAACTAAGTTCTTTCGACCTATTTTCGCAGCTTTTCCCAATATGACATATATAAGGATTTTGACTTTCACGTGCGTGTACGTGCGCGTATAAAAAGGGGGCAGTGGAAAGCAGCCCTTAGGTCGTATGAAGTTAAGCCTTATTTTGCAGCACTATAATGGAATAAACACTTACCATACGAACGGGGTTAGTTTCAATTGTTGGGTTAGGCCTTGTATAAACACTAGAATGTACTCCAGTTTCTTGACGTTCAGGCGCTCCGTTCTAGAGAAACAAGAATTGTAACCTCACTCAGTCTCTCTATGGCAATAAAAATAGCCGGATCCTCTTTATACAGGGATTTGGGCAATTTGAAGTTGCGTGAGGCAGAGAAACTCTTTCAAACAGAAAACTCTGTCGAAGTCGAGTTGGCATTCCCTTATTAAGCCAAGTTTTTTTTTGTATTTTCCCAATTAGATACCCAATTATTTTCAAAATACCCAGAAAAATGTTCACATTGTTCATCACGTTTCGGCGTCATTTTATCTTTTTTGAGCTGGCAGAAACATTTTAGGTAAAGATCAAAACTTGACCTGATACAACTGACTTCAAGTGCCTAAATATTGAAGCTGCATTTTTGATCATGAAATACTGGTATAGAATAACTTGAACAAAACCTAAATAAGTTTCAATATGACAAAACACGCTTCTCGACTTTGAGATTTCGTCAGAAGACTTCGAGATGCGTTTTTTTTAGTCAAATGTAAGTTAATGTTACACGCAACGCAAGTTCATGTTGAAAGTTGTTTCATGTAACATTTTTACACAGCATTCGATGCTGACAAATATATGAAACATTGAAACAAACCTGAACACTTCTATCAAAGTTTTCAGCAGCATCTGAGAAAGACGTAAAAGGAGAAGAAATATGTTCAAGTCGTTCTCTAAGTTGTCTTGTTTGTTCTCTGAGTCGTCTTTGATTTCGTCGAACGGCGCGTATCTGGTGACTGGCGTCACGACGTCTTTCATTGTGTCCCTCGTGAGATTCCTGGAACGTTTCGATAAACAGGTTAATGTTAAACGCGGATATTTCAATAATCTTGACAATTTTTTTCGGAAAATTTCTGTTGTTGAATTCTAGGTTTCAACAATGCAAGTTATACATGCAAAATGATTTTTAAAATGTAAAGAATATAATAATATACGAAGATATGTACATACTGTACATCTTGCAATTTTTTATCTCATATAGCTACCCGTCAAGCGAAAAATGAAACCTTCAGCTGTTAATTTGTTCCTAGCCCATTTTTTGACCGAGCGTGAGTTCTGTACTCATAAAAAGCCTCGGTCTGATATTTCACAGTAGCGAGGTCAATAATCGGTTTGTTATATGGTTGAACGAAATATACGGACCACGGTCCGGACCGCTCTTCAACCAATAAGAAAAAATTGCAAATTTTGAAAAGCCATATAATAAGTTTAAATATTAACTTTCTGTTTCCGTCTATGTATATCTGGATGGGCGTCGTAAAAACCTTTAAAGCTAGGTTACAATAACTACTGAACCAGGAAGATTTTTGAAACAACCCACTCAGCTTACAAAATAGCTGTTGAAAAGTTTGTTTTGTACTAAGATTTGCATCAACCAAGGGTTAAGATAACCGACTTTTTATAACAACCGGCGCTAGGATCCACCCCCGTGATTTCATTCAATTCGTAATCTGTGCAGTACAAGCACAAATATTTAGGGGGTGAAATTTCGTGTCACAGACGTTTCAGAACTGAAAAGCTAGAAACTAGAAATGTCTACTGAGGACTCACTCCTGATGGTTAAAAGAGCTGGTACATGAAGCATGCCGCTAACCTGGGAATGAAGATTTGAATGAGTGGATAGTCGACTCCATTCACTTCTAGGCAGGAAATGTGGTCTAATATTGTCAGTGTCTGTTGTTAATCTTGGTGGACTAATACGACTACAGCTAGGGCGGGAAAATTCACCAGCAACCCCAGGCTGACCAGAAGAATCATCCTATCAACATAGAAAAAAAAATCAAGCCTTAACTTGCAAGTGCGATTTTGATAGCTGTTAACGAGTAATTAGTTATAAATACTCTGACGCATAAGAAGTCTTATTTAAACATCCGGAACTAATTTAATCGTTAACATCTCCTAAGGGAAGACGATCGCAAAATATTGCAAAGAAATTTAAAGTATACACGGGCCTTTAGGGTTCTTTCCTTTATACAGTAAAAACGGTCAGATCGGTCCTGTTTTATTTAAGTATACAGACATACTACAGTATTTAGGTACACGCATACTATTTTGGCGTATATAATTGAGTAAGCTCAACAAGAATACTGAACGGGATGTTACGAAAGGAACTGAAAGAGATGTTACAAACGGAACTGAAAACGCTAGATCAATAACGCTTGTGGCACCACAGATAATCTTTTAAAATTCATAATCATTTATGCAATTATTCCGATTAAATTGTTGTGTAATGTATACGGTGTATTTCTACACGGTGTATTGGCCATTATAGTTTCCAGTTATCTCGCATTTTAAAGTTTGCTGATCTATGATTCGAAACGAAAGTTCGAGTTAACCGGAATGTATTCGACCAAGGGAAAACAAGGGGAGGGAGATATTAAGGCCTTATAGCTACACTGAGTACTGCAGTCTACTTACATCATCAACAAGGATAGTTGGCTCGGAATTATCAACACGAAGATTATTCAAGAAATGATTATATCTCGCAGTATCGCCTCTTGAGGTAACACTACCATTATGACGCTCTTCCACTGGATGACTTGCGTGGTGTGATGATTGACGATGACGTAATGACATAGCTCGTCTTATACGTAATCTGTTATGGTCTGAGAGGAAGCGACCACGCATGATCTCAGCGTAATATGGCGAGCTTTCGAGGGTTCGAAGGAAACTAGAAAGAAATAATAGTTCAATTCGTCAAGGCTAGTATTCATTTAAACACGCGGTAAAATCTTCCGTGTCATTGCATTCACATGAAATCAAATATCTAAAGTTAAAAAACTGATTTTTAAGATTGCCGCGTGGGGGCCTATTAAGGAGGTGATGGAAAAAATGAGGTAATTCCATTTTGGAAACAGCTTATTTGATAGCGGATTTTTTTTAGCAAAACAGGGCTCAAAATAACATCCGTAATATCTCCTGAGAAAACGACCGACCAGCCTCATTCTAACACGGTCAGAATCGGCGTTTGACGTGTCACTACATCCACGACTTGTACCTTTATGATTGACTCAACATGATCAAACCGGAAACTAAATCCTATGTTTTGAGACGCACAGATTCTCGTGAATGTGTGTCGCTACAAATGTACAACATGCATTGTTAGTGAATCGTCTTATACATAGCGTTTAATAAAATTTAGCAAACGCCTGGCAAGCTAAAAAATTGAACGGTGAACAAGCACATTTGGTCGGCTATTCTCGGTTGACCGACCGTTATTTTGAGCCCTAGCTGTTTAATACAAAAATATTGTATTGGTGATGTTGAGTTCCAGGTGAAAAGTCTCGAATGTGCCAAAAGTGATAATCGAGAAATGCACCATTTTCAAGCAAGGAGGACCGTACTAGATGCTTATTTGGGGGGGGGGGATTGTATACTCATATGCCCCACTGATTTCTTTTGTACGCTATTTTTTCTATGAAAGGTAAACATAAATATACATAAATACCCCCCCCAATTGGACGGACTAGCTACGACCCTGCTAGCAAGCACAAAAGTAACCCGTTTTTACAGTAAAAAATCATTTATTTGATATATCATTAAACATTTAACATACCTCGAATTTGAGTTTAACAATCATATAGAAACCCAAGGTTAGAAAAACCTATCGAAAGGTATTTTGCTCCGATAATTTGAAATCCGCAAGTTTTATACGTGTTCGATGTTGTAAGAAATTTAATTTTCCAATCTAATTTTTTTCGCGTCAGAAGTTCAACGAGAAGGGAAAATAAACTGTGTCAATTCTCACACTGTACCTTTGGCTGTCAGCGTTATTGTCAACGGAGGAGCTCTCGTCTTCATTATCAGTGGTCAGATCAATAACGGGTACATCAACACGGGCTCTCTTTGAGTTATCAGCTATGATGACACCATCCACAGACTCGAGACGTCTTCTTCTCGGGTGACTTCGTTCATTACTGTCAGGTATTTCAATTACTGTTGTATTTCCCCCCGTGCCGGTTGGTCGTTCTGGTGTATCCAAAAGAATAGGTGACCTCGAGTTGCAAGAGTTTACCATTGTGCTGGAGAAGAAACGAAGATAACTACTTTAGTTGAATAATCAAACCTTAGATGTGTGAACATAGTATTGCTGGATGCAAATGTAGCAAGCATGCAGGGCCCACTTTCTAGGAATGGTTAAGGCAATTTACATTTTGCAGAAACGACACTCAAAATGTGCGCTCTTTAAATCTACTACCTCCTGGTAAACAATTTGAACTGCAGTGATGCAAGGTTTTCTTTTAACATGAGGGTTTTGCACAGCACGAAGTTAAAACGGGAGGGAGGACACTTTCGCAACGCATGTCCACCATGAAATTTTTTTTTTGAAGCTTAGAACTGATTGCTCTAACGTTTCAACCTTCTTTTTGTTATGCCTTAATATATAACATGCAAACTCAATTCCTTATCACTGGTGGATGATTCATATTTTAAGGGGGGGGGGGGGGAGACTGCACCCCCTACAACTGATATTTACCAGATCCACAATTTACCATATACAGTAGCTATATATTTACAGCCTGTTCAGGATGTAAATATTTACTACAATGCCAAAAGTATTCTGTTCATTAATACAAGCCAACCATAGGTAATCACAACAATCAAACTTTATTACATATGACCCTACTTGCATTTAGATGCACATTTATTATACACTAAAAACAACATTCATAAAATTTAAATATTCACATCTGTAAAATAATAAAATAATTAACAACCTCATTTTTTTCATATATCAGCTGACTCAAAGCATATATTATAATACTGCATATAAATGTATATTATTGACTAACAATCTCACATTAATTATCATATTTGATATTTCACACAACCAAAATATTTATTATACTCAGCAATAAAGCAATTTTTAAAACTCAAACACAACTATAATCTTACTTTTTCATATATGGCTTGATGCAAAAACACTTCTTATATAATATTTTAAGACAAATTACAATTGTAGAGAAGATTATTAACTGCATTTTATCGTATATGGTGGGATTCAGATACCTATATATTGCAAAATATTGTACAAATAATATGCATAATATCCACTGCATAAACTTGATTTTCTTATTATTGATTGAAATTAGGTGCAAAATTACCATCATCAGTGATGAAAAATACAGGCACAAAAAGATAAAACAATTTACACAGTGTACAATTTAAAATTACAAACTGCATTTACATTATACCAACATTTGATATCACTGAAAATGGTAATTTTGCAGCTGTATAAATCAACAAAACTATGCTTTACTTATGCATTACTTATCTTGTCTTATAGATTGAGTTATAACAGTCATATTAACAAAATATTCAAACAACTGCATTCTATTCTCAACATGGCACAGCACACGGTGCATCTTTAGTAATGAATCTCATGAGAATAACAAGCCTTACTTACAAGAGATAATAGAATAGTATCCTATATGTACATCACAATTCGAAAGTGAACACTTGGATATCAAGACCCACAATGCATTGAAATAGAGCATATGTACCTAAATGTGGCTTGATGTTTTTATAGACCATTACTTATCCTGATTTATAAATTGAGTTATAAAACACATTAACAAAATATTAGACAATTGCATTCTGCTATCAACATAGTGCACAATAATGTATCATTAGTATACATAACTTGGGAGGAACTAGGAGAGCTACATACAGTGATAATGTATCTTTACTTATTAGTACACATAACTTGGGAGGAACTAGGAGAGCTACACACAGTGATAATGTATCATTAGTACACATAACTTGGGAGGAACTAGGAGAGCTACACACAGTGATAATGTATCATTAGTATACATAACATGGGAGGAACTAGGAGAGCTACACACAGTGATAATGTATCTTTACTTATTAGTACACATAACTTGGGAGGAACTAGGAGAGCTACACACAGTGATAATGTATCTTTACTTATTAGTATACATAACTTGGGAGGAACTAGGAGAGCTACACACAGTGATAATGTATCATTAGTACACATAACTTGGGAGGAACTAGAAGAGCTACACACAGTGATAATGTATCTTTACTTATTAGTACACATAACTTGGGAGGAACTAGGAGAGCTACATACAGTGATCAGTTATTCTTTATTACATGGCACTTAATTAAATATTTAAAAGAAAGAAGCACTGACTGTTTATGGATGTAATTATCAAGATTCCCACTTGCAAGGATTATTCTAGAATGCGGGATACAAAATTTTTTGTCTATGTACATTTTTCTGCTACAGTGACGACAATACAAGCCTAGTATAAATATCGAATACCACCTGAAACAATAAATTATGACAATGCATGTTTTGTTCACTTGTAACAGCTCTTGGTTGCTATTCCCTAACAAACACATGTGGGTATATAATAATATTCAACTATAAAGAATTCTTAAGCAGATTTTAATCAGGAACATACAGTATATTTTGAACCCACACAAAGCATTAGAGACAGAATGATTCTTGAATTCTGTACCGGTACCACAATAGCCATCACAGGAAGTATAAGAATCAAGTACACATACTACACATGATGCATATATACTTCATGAACAGTGCTTGACCAAATGCTTCTACTACTGCTTAACTAGTTTTTAAATTCCTTTGAGTTCACAGAAGAATACTACACAGGATGCATATATACTTCAAGAAAAATGTTTGACCAAATGCTTCTACTACTGCCTCACTAGTTTTTAAATTCCTTTGAGTTCACAGAAGAATTTATAATGTATAAGTAATCTTTTGTGTAAGATACCCAATGAATGAACAATTAGGGTACCCTTATACCACTATCATAGCATATATATCAAACATTAGAAAAATTCACAAAATTGTCAGTCAGCATACTCCACATACTCAAACAAAATTGCAAAGATATATATACATGTGTCTCTCTATATGAAATTAAAAGTAATAGCAGTAGCCCAAACCCATATTTAAATGAAAAATAGTTCAATTAATCCATGTACTTTAGTTAACTCTTTGCATGTTTTTGTACAAATAGCAAGACTTAATAGATAGAGTGGGAACTGTGAAAGCAAGCATGGGATGTTATGAAGCAATTGGGAGTATGTGGCACAAGAAGCTAGGAATAAATAGGGAGAACATTGTATATTGTATAAAAAGGTTTTCATTTCGCTTTTCCCCCAACTTTATTATTTTTTTCTGTCATACGGCTAACACATTTACTTCCCAATAGATGGGTGGTGTCAAATTGGTGAGAAAAATTCTATTCTAATGTTATATTATTGCAGTACTGCCAATGGTAATAAATACAAAAATTTTCAATCAGCGATTCCTACTAACCAAGTAGCACATAATACAACCTACAAGTGGTAAGTAATGGACAATCACTGCATATTGGGACAAACAGAATGTAGTAACCCTGGTTTTTCTTAGGCATTGTGTTTCACATAGATATACATGTAATAGAGAAAGATAAATATGTCTAAAATGTCCCATCTTCTATAACTAAGCAGACATTAGAAATTCCACAATCAGGCATCTCTTTGGCAACACAATGTATTCCAATTTGTTTTGATTTTTTGTTTTCTATTGGCCCATTTTTATCATGTGTTTTGCCCCCATACAAAGCATGCATTCTCCCATATTCATTTTCACACTAACTCTCCTGAGAAAGGCCCTCAGGTCGAAACGTCGAGAAGTGTTTTGTCTATTTTAGGCAGTTGTTATACCACATTTGTTGCTAAATCGATACTGTTGAAGAGTAATAAACCTTTACAGTGGTAACCTTCAAGTCTTTGAGCAAAACATGGCTGTATTCACCCTGAAATATACACTGGGTGATAAAGACAGATTGTCAAGTATTAATTAATTCAACTAGTTTTTTTTGTATTTTTCCTTTATAATATTCACGTTAATGCTAGCCCAAAGTGAATCTGAAAATGACTAGCATTACTACATACAAGAGATAATTCATCACAAGTCAAAAAATTATCTGATATTTGTCATATCTGAGCCAAATCCCTTAATTAGAAAAGTGAGTCAACGCTGTGAAGTCTGAACAAGGAGCTGCAGGGCCCAGTGCTAGACTCTCTAATAAAAAAGGCCATGCAAAGTACTTCAACACAGGCAGTCTGCTATCACAAAAATGTTTAGAATAGTATCTCATATATACATCAAGGTTGGAAAGTGAACCTTTAGATATTAAGAGCCACACAGCATTGAAATAGAACATATACCTACATGTGGCTTGGATATGGGCCAATTTATACCACAGCCCAATTTCACATCAAAGCTTTCCAGCTGAATCACAGAACGCTTAGCTAAATATTTCATCGATAGTGTATAATATTTTCTATTCCTTAAAAACATTTCCTTGATAATAAACTAAAGAAAATATACTGCGTCACACACGGCAGAAAACACATATTAATCAAATTAAAATATGCGAGGAGCATTTCAATTCAAGTCGCATAAAATTGCTGAAAGATCAGTACATCGACAAAAATTCCTTCGACAGAAAGCTATCGCGTATTTTTCAATATAAAACAGAGAATTTGGCTGAAATATCCCATGATAAATATAAAGGAAGTATTCAAAATATACGAACAACGTAATGCATGAATTGTTACTGAGGTTATATTACGTTGTTCCACAAAATTTCATAATAATTCCCTTTGCCCAAAGACAATTTTGCCCTAAATATCTCGCTTAAAGTTTCGAGACGAACAACTGAAAGAAAATACCTTAGTATTTAGTTTAGAAAAGTGGCGATTGAAGTCTCTTTCCCGCTGTTGAATCGGCCAAATATATTTCCTAAACAACAAAAGGATGCAAAGATATCAAAATTTTCTTGGCTACATATTTATATAATAGATGGGAGTACTCGTGTACTCGTAGAAACAAAACATTTTACATCATAAAGAAACGATTTTTGAACTTACCCAACCTGAATTCTCAGCTAAAACTTTGCCAGCAAGTGTGAAAATATTGGTAAGATGATGAAAGAGAAAGCTAACAAATCGGCAAGACAAAGCTTTCGCGTCTATTTAGGCCAACAAAACAATGCTTCCCTCGCTGGCACTTTCTCAGCTTTCAAATTGTTGTGTCACAGTGATTCAGGGGGCTTCATGGGATCACGACGGTTAATTTAGGTGAATTTATAATTAGCTGAGGACGACCGCTGTCTAAACTACGCGTGGACGCTAATGAGAAATACATTTCATTACAATAGCTAACATAGCACAAAATATTTAAAGTGTCTATAAAATTACAAATTTTTCGTCATTTTGTACTTTCGACAGCGGAAATTTTGACTTTGACAATAAAAATGTCTAATTCGAAATATAAACACGCGTCTTTGTACGTTTTGTGACGCTTTCGCAATATGGCCCATACAATCTGTTCTGCAGTTTGGCCTGTTGGTATAAATGCACGACGTACAGTTAAACGCTAAATTTCAGGGGCCGATTGTACGAAAGCCATACAGTACCGTAACGCAATCCACTGCTGCTTGCTGGATAGTGATTTTTAACCGCGTGAAAAACAGGGCCTAGAAAGCAATGGGGTCAGTAGACGGATTTTGCACCTAAAGTTATTAAAGAGAGTCCCCAATTTAAGAATATCAACGTTTGATCAAGGTTACACCGAAAAACGAGCATTTTAGAGCGACTGAGAAACATAAATCCAGTATCTTGCTCTAGCCACTTATTTTACGGCTCACAAATCTTGGTTGAGGTCACGTACTCCTGAACTGTTTGGCGTTTCTTTTTACAATCACTGATAAGGCACTTTTAATTACTTGCTTTAAGAGAGACACATTTATTCATTTAATGACTCAAAGAAAGGCATCTTTGCTAAAAAGGGGGTTCATCTTTCATTCTTTCTTTTCAGAAAAGTAGGGGAGGGACACTAGCCCTTGACGCCGACAACAAAAACGAAGAAAATGACACTGAATGATGGAGGCAAATGCCACACAGATATCTCAAGACGACATAGCATCCAGACTGAGGAAACATTCTCCTTGTTGAACGCAATAATTCATATATAAGTGCTGCTAGAAAAAGCATTTAAAATTAGTTCGCGGTTTTGCGATTTAGTATAAACTTTGAAATATGAAAGTGAAAAATTGCTGGGAAGTCAGCACTCAGCAATATATATGTACCAGGAAAAACGGGGGCATAATAGTTTTGTTGAGGCACCTCATGACGTCACTCACGTCAAGATCTCAGATCAGCTTGATCCGGAGATCGACTGGTTTCTAAAATATCATTATAGTTTCCTCCTGACTTCACCATGCATGCTTGATTCATAGCTGGCGGCGATGATTGGATAAAAACGTCTAAAGCTATGACAATGATTTCAAATTCGAACTATAAATATACATATAATCGCTTTTTTTAGATATATTTCATATAATCACAAGTTTTGCGCCTTCACGAATATCCCAATTCCAATTTAGTGTAATTGTCCCTGCATGCTCCTAGCGTTATAGGTCAATAATCTAATCTTTCACATTTTCAACACATCTTCAATCTATCAAAGTTGTTTGTCTTTTTACTCCACAATAAATAGCACCAGCAGTCCAGCACAGTCGAAAAAACTGACGTTTTTACTGTAGGATATATATTCTTAACGCTATAGTCTATAGTCTTAACGCTATAGTCTATGACTATATAAGCACGACAATCCAGTGACGCTTTACTCAACTGAATTAATACATCGTCGCAAATGAGAGCTGTTTGCTAAGTTAACAGTTTTTTTCGTTTATTTGTAGTGCTAAAAGCTTGGTGGACGGTGGGCGGTTAGTTGATTTTCGTGAGAAAACTCAGCAATCGGGGCATTGAGGAAATTATCTATCAAGTTAGTTTTTTTCACTCGTGGGAAAAATATAGGTAAACATATTATTGCGAGTGAGCATTGCTCATTCTTTGAGCGCTCAGCTTTATCATTCAGACTTTAATTAAAAGGGAATTGTAACTGAAATGGCTGTATATGCAAGGTGAAACATCTTGACCAGCTCTAGCCATCAGGCCTTTGCGAGTTGAAATAAGCTGTTAGTTAAAACGAACTAAATATATGATTGGGGAAAAAGAGATCGCAAAAAGTAAACACCCAGTGTATCTTAACTGATGCGTCTGTTTCTTAATTTAGAAACATATAAACGTACGTTAAAATAAATCAGTGCATGTGAAGCTTCCCATCATAATTATGTGATAAACGAAGGTGTTCAGTTATGAATATTATAATCTTTGTATCGGTATCGTGGTCCGCTGTTTTCTCACAAGAAGCCTGGGTACGAAGATGTAGAGTCAAGCCTTTCGCAGTACAGTTTAAGGAATATTCAGTATATATAACGAGTATGTAACAGCACTAACAATTGCTATATAGTATTAGAACGATTTAGCCTTACACTATACCATGCATATCCCCGATTTAAGTGGGCCAACTGTGTTCATTAATTTTTAGGCAAGGTTATTTTGCATGCATGTCAAAGTTTCTGTGACCTCACTTAAAATTTCCAAGCATTTCGAACGTGTAAGTTTTCAAGGATTTGCTTATTCATATATAGGGAAGCATATGGCACTGCTCGGTACGCCGTACTTGCTCTGAGTTATGCCGTACAACTAATTATACAGTCATATCCTTCAAAGGTTAGTATTTCAGACCAATGCAAAATTCCGAGTGTCTAAACTTCGACAGTGTCAACGGGGCCATGTATTCTATGTTTCCTATATACGAGGGATAATTTAGTCCATACTGCAAGCTGTTTTGTGTAATCGTTTATTACAACATATTACTCCGGCTGGTTGCCATTTGCCAACGGTTAAACTCTGCTATCTACATAACCATTTTCAGATCCTTGGTAATTAATTTGACGTGTTTGGGAATAGAATACAAAAGCTGTGATCATCATCAGTATCAGTTGAGATTTCTTGACGTATTATTTACATGCGGTTGTGGTAGACAAAGCCGAACACTTGAAATGACTCGTGGGAGGCACTTCGTATGCAAAAAGCTAGAGGGCACTTAAAACAAAAAAAAATCAAAAGAGAGCAAGGAGTGCAATTCGTAAATCAAATATGGGATCTATGACTCCGGTGCAAGTTTCGCCAAAGTTTGAAGATAACTCAAATGATCATACTAAGATTTATACCTACTTTGAACTGGTTTTATTGTGACGTTTTCTGGCTTGATTTCGCCTCTTCAAACACATCCCATACTTCACAGCTGCTAGCGCGGGGGCATAAGTGAACAATAGCATTATGACATTCTTATAGAGATCGCAAATTCTTTCAGTTATCTACTAAGCAGATATACATACCGGATATTACTTTCTCGCAATTATTTTTAGTGTATGACATACGAAATAAAGAACGAGCTCAGAGCTATGAAATAATGAAAATAACAAGCATGCAAAGGAATGCAGCAATCGCACAGAATATCCTTTATAATGTATAAAAGCCTGAATTTCGCAATCGGTTTTCTAGTGCTGACTGATTCAGTCGAGGGCCATTTTCGGAGTTTCTCGGGATTGGGCTAGTGGATATTAAAAAACACTTTTCGGAGAGGAGTGTGACATCCCACACACCTTATACATATGCATACGGCCTTCATTTCTTTGGTATCCGAACAAGTTTTAGGGCAGAATATCTTACCACCAATTACCACAATGCATCACAAGCTAGCGGCAATCCGCATAATTACAGACGTTTTCCCAGCAGGCCGCGCGCGACGATATATTTTTCAGTGTCTAAAAAGGTTACCGATATTATAGGGAAGTATTTTGACAATTGTAAGGAAGTGAACCCACCAAGGCCAGTAAAACAGCTAAAGATGACTTTGCCGTCAAAAAATGTGGAACATGCATTAATTTTGAACTTTTATACGATCACCAAACGAACTTTGACGTTTTCAATCAAGTTACAGTTTGAAAACTCGAATGAAATATTTGTTTTGTTTTGTACTTCTGCACTATGTCACTCACTCTGCGTCCTTTGCCGGTAGTCCTCAATAAAGCCAGTTTCATGTTTCGTCTGTTATTCTCAGGTTTCCAGCAACGTCATAGATTCTTCTGGTGGTCAACTGAAAATCAAGATTATAGGTAATGGACGACTTGCGCTTTAGACTAATTTCTTACCTTTGCGATAAAAAGGACATTTTCTGAAAGATCTCACTTAAATTAGTGCAAATGCAAAGTTTGGCTGCGTGTTGTTGTAAAAATTACGGAAAATATAGCCATGCAAGTTGTCGATTTTTGTATACTTTTGTATTACGACTGGAAGTGTGTACTGACTAATTTAGTTACACATTTCCGCCCATAGTACAAAAGTATACAAAATTTGCCAACTTCGCATGGCTATATTTTGCGTGTTCTACAAAATTTCGCAGCCAAACTTTGCATTTTCGCTAATTTAGATAAGATCTTTCTAGCTGTGATGATTTATTATTTTCTTCTAGTTACTTCGATCAAATATTAGTCTAAAGCGCAAGTCGTCCATTGAAGTGGTTTAGTTCTTCAAGTATTCACTTCTTCACTTCTTCATTTCTTCACTGTATGCATTGCCTTTGTGTTTTGTTTGTAAATTTTAGGCAAATTGTTGACAATTAGCCTTTCTCACGATGACGAATATGCCGCCATTTTTGGGGTACTTTTTTCACTGAACCATGAGCGTAAGATTTGGTAACGGCGACTGTCTTTAATTTTAGGCAGAATTTATTCTTCAAATGATCTGTTTATTCTAAAAATATTGCTTTTGATGTTTAAACACAATTTTTAAACCCATTTCAGAAGATTGAAAGTACCCCAAAAACGTCATCGTGAGAAAGGGTAATTACTCACTCAACTCCGTGCACGTGCTGCGTATTCATCAATTCAATTCTTGTCTTAAAATTCGATGGCTTAATTCTTTAAAATTGAGTGTGAAACGTTTCTTTGATTCGTTGTTGTCGTATTCTGATACATTATAGACATACGTTGCGTTATTTGCCGTCACTGCATGGAGCAAAAGCTCTTTCTAAAAACATATGCCATTTTTATTCGGGCAAATATTATTTATTCGTCTTTTGTCCGGGTCACTACTCGAATAATGCTTTAGTTGCTTATAGAATCACCATTTGACAAAACGGAACAAAA